TTCCCTTCAATAACTTACCCTCATTGCCAAATTCTCACCCGTAAAAATGCCCATCAGTGCAGAGTATTTTCGTTTTTTTTAAGGTTTTTTTTTTCGTTTTTGAACCGACAGCAGTTTCTGTTTGCCCGATGCATTTCCATCGCTGCCGTCGTTATTTTGAAAAAAACACAACTAATTTACTCGTATTGTATTTTAATCCTGTTTTTCCCTTAGCGGGCCAGGTTCACGTTTACAGGTAACCAACAAAACTGCAGTATACAACGGGGTAGGGTAAATAGTAATCCTATACATTGTTAAACTATTGCAATTGTCCGCGCTCTGGGTCTTCGTGGCCCGGAATCGCGTTCTAGGACTTCTCCGAAACACGAGACCGCGGACGCCCGCGGCCTGACCAGTATTGGTCCGATCAAATTAGACAAAAAAAAAAAAAAATGTAAAGTTCGAAAAAAACTTTTTCCTAATTCGACTGGACAATATAGTGAACGGCCAATAACGTACATCCATATCGTTACGTTCGACCCTCCGATCGTAACGTCCCGCCGCCGGGGAAACCGCCCGGAATAATCCCGTGACTTATTCATCCCGGAGGAATCATATACGCGTTACGTATACGTATACGTATGAACTCGCGTATGGCCACGATAATAATACGAAACGTACTATATATAAGTGTATATTATATTTTATTATGACGAGGGCGATCAGTGTCGACCCGGCCATGACCGGAGCCCCCTCTATGTGACCGTTTGTAGAAAATATTTATTAAGTTTAGCTAATAAATATTATACAATGTCACAATGTTATAATGCTAAATCAGAGAACAAAATCTAGTTGACGGGGGCATTTTAGCCAGATTTTAAATGTTGTTTCAAACTATATTGCGGTGACGCGGTAGCCGGTGAAAACTAGTCGTTAGACCCGATGTCATCATTCGAGGTCACAATTAAAATCAACTAATAATACCGATCTAATAATGTATTATCTACGCGTATAATAGATAACTGAAAGAAACAAATATTTGTGTTTAGAACATTGCTTGGTATCTGTCATTTCGTGTGAGATCAAGAAATAATAATGAAGTAAGCGGATATGTTATAATATTATAATGTAAAATCGATAAACATGTATAATAGTAATTTGGGGGGAGGGTTGGACCACCCAAATCTCTCTTTAAGCAACGCCCGTGTTGTCTTTATGCTCGGTATTCCTGTAGTAATGTTTGCCGGTTCGATTGTAGAGGACTGAAAACTTTCGAACTTCTCCGATTGACTTACTTACGTCAACAGTGCTCGCTTTTAATATAGTAAACGATAATAAAAATTATTGAACGCCAGTACACACAATAGAAACAATGCCGACTGACAAAAACCGTGCCTACAACGCCAAGTATTAGATTAATATTCAAATGTGCGACGAAACCGATGATAATAACTCGTCGCGAAACCGTCGCCGATGACACGTGAACGTTTTTTTTTTTTTTCATCAACTGACGCGTTTTTTTTTTTCTTTATCGACTAATTGTACATAGACGTACTAAAATACCTCTATATTCGGACGAAATTCCGTCGTCTCTATGGATATAATACGAATAGCTATAAATACAGAAAAGGCACGTGTTCAGGAACATTTGTCTAGAAAAACCTAAAAAATGCTTAATAACTATAGAAAACATTGAAAAACACATGTTACCTATACAACTAATGCTATAGTTTTGAATTGTATCGTCTATAATTATCTGCAGTAATTTCACAAAATGTACTGTATAAAACCTTCTCTGCGTTTTAAGATTTAGCGATTCATACCGGAGAGTTACAGTTTTCAGAAAATTTGTTAAGAGGCCAATCACAACGTTGCCAATCTATACAAAAAATGTTTTTTAAATTGTTGTACGGTTTATTCATTACTGCCAACCGATCTCTCCTAAAGTATCATATAATACCATATTTTATTATTTAGTATTTTTCCATAACCGTGTTTTCGCGATAACCGATAAGTACCTAATTCCAATACGGCTATACATCAATAAGTTACACTAATTAAAATTATACTTTCACATATAATGCTCATCACTTTTTCTTGTTACTTACCCCACGTGGTTATGTACAACAAATCGAGGGCTTTTTTCGATTAAAATTGTCCGAGTTAGTCCAGCGAGCGAGTGACCACCTTGGGTTTCTAGTTCCACCCATAATGCTTTTTCAAATTTTCCCGGCTACTTACCCGACGTGGTTTTGCACAAGACTAATTATCATGAATACATAATTTGAAATAATATTTTTATAGTGTTCGTGTAGACCGATAGGGCTACGATTTCTGATAATTTTTTCTGAAAACTGTATACTATCCGATTCATATAATATCTTAAGAATAATTTTTTTATAATAATTGTACAATTTATAATTATCAGGGTTAAGGGATCGGATACGGGGGTGTAATAATTTTGGGGCCCCCTACACTTCTCGATTTCAATGACATAGTCGACATTTCGTTCTGCGAAACAAATTGAAAGTCGGCAAAATAACGAGATATTTCGGCAAGAATAGTACTGGAAAAAAGCCACAGTTTATGTTGTTGATGAATACGCCACTGTATCAGAAGGGAAGTCGGAATGTAAGATGCATAGAACAACAATTTAAGTTACATTCGCACGCAACGATAAACCATCGTTACCAAAAAAAAAAACGATTCCGAGCAGAATATTATTAGTCGTATTTTTTCCCTTGTCACCGAGGTAACCCGGAAACGCACACAAATTATACAACAAATTGCCAGTTTTTCCCCACTTATTAAGAAAGCAACAAGGGAAGGTCATTTTCCTTGCCGTCCACAAATTAGATAAAAACGTCAAGAAAGTTCCTATAAAGTTTTTAATTGAAGATTCTGGGAGAAAAGTTGTTTATAAACACGCTCACGCACAAAAACGCATCGTAATAAAATAACAATATAATAATATTCCGCGCTTCTCACTCGGAATCTAAAGTTTAAAACGATTATACGGAAAGCCTGTAATCTTTCTATGGTCGCGTAGGTGTATTTTAAATGCGTATTTTGTGTTATAATATTGCGGTTAAAACTATATTTATTTAAATCTCCTATCGAAACGACCAAACTGTGGCGCGTACGGCGACTGATTCGGTAAAAATGGGCTGTATTCGATACAAAAAGATGCCTCCGCAGCAAAAATATCCGGCACTTGTACGATGGCGATATTGTAATACACGGTTATTTATAATAATCCGAACAACGGTACTCCAACGTAAACTGTATTATACGGTAAAAGTTCTTTGCCGTAATACTATACCACTGTACCATGAAGTTTGGCGGCCGTAAGCCCATCATCGTTATGCGGGGGGAAATGACCGTATTGCGCGGGCCAAATACTCGCGAAATATTCGTTTACGCCGGGCGACGACAACGTGACGTGTAGAAACCGAGGTGTGCTTGACAGACACGATAAATTCCGATATTTTTCACGTAATTCGCGGCACAAACAAACGAAGCCCAAGGGTTGATCGACGGAATTCGCGCACTTTTCGCGCAGTACAACGGACGCGTTTTCCGTTTACCCGTTGAGCACGAGGACGTCCACTGTCGTTTTATATAATATTTACAATGCCGCGATCGCGTCGCGGGGAAAAAAGAGAAATCAAAACCTAATACGTATACGGTATCATTACAGCTAGGCGTACAATCGCGGTACAATAAAAAAAACCGAACCGGTTTTTCGTGGATTCGCCTTGAAAATTTGCCTCTGGCCGTTGAATTCGTCTCCCCCGGACCGCGTATAGTTCGACGTAATACTAATTATATGCGCGCGTCATAATCCGGAACAGCGTCCGAAAGTTTCCGAAATTCCCCCGTCGCCGCGAGACGCCGCGGCACCAGTTAGGTGTTTGACGGGCGATTTGTAATTATGCCGGGCCGCGGCCGTTATGTGCAGCGCGCGATGAGATTGATCGATTCGTGTTTAATACGCGCGCACGCACGTGCGTTTAAAAGGGAACGGGCGTGGGTCAGGTGGGTGAGCGGGCGGTTGGGTGTGGGTCCTCCACCCACTCCGGGAGGAGGTGTCGGGGACGGGGGGACGGGGGGGGGTAGCGGCAGGGATACAGTTTTATAAATAAAAAAACCGGCGGGTCGGCGAGACGGCGACGGGGAAGACGGGTGGGTGGCGGGCGGACGCGAAGGTTTCGGGGGAAACGAAAACAAAATGCCGACCTTTTCGACCTTAATTACCCGGGCGTTTGTAACGGTTCGCGCGCGTACCTACGTACGTACGATAATAACGAGATACCGTGCACCGAGACCGGAACAACAATGTCTATTTTATTGTTGTGTATTATAAAACCCATTACGCGACGACGCCTGTCGGTTTAATTAAACGCCGCGCGCGGTCTGCGCGATATCACTGCGCGCGCGGGCGTTTTATTATCGGCCGTTTCGCGCGACGCCGCCGCCGCCGCGAAGAAAAAGGGAACCGGAGGGGCACCCGCGTAATCGCGCCGTATTAATATTATTGTCGCGGACGTCCGGCTCGCTTTTCGCCAACTCGCCGCCTCCTACCCCGCGCCACGCCGCCGCCCGAAAACGCGGGGTGACGGGGGAATTAAAAATTAAAAAAAAAACGAACGGACGTGCGCGGCTCGACGGACAGCGGGCCGCCGTTGCGGGCGAGAAGCCGGCGATGTGTCGTAGACGGGTGCCAACGGACATACTGTCCGCGCGCGAATAGTCGGCAACGTAAAGGTGAAATTTAGTGGACATTTTTACGCGGCGATAGATCGTCGCTAACGGAAAACGATTCGGAGCGGACTACGGTCGTACGCGTTTTGAAACGCCGTAATATCTACGATTTGAAAATAACAATTTTCGCAAATTTTCCCGTTTTCCCTGCGTTTTTTCTCCGGTTTTTCCCGATTATTATGATGGAAACCGTTAAGTAAATAAAAAAAAAAACAACGACCCGTCTCAAGCGCCGACGTTTCTTTTCGGAAAAGGGCGCTACACTCGATACATCAGAGCAGAATTTTTGATAGAAAAACTGTTCGCAGAATCTAAAAAAAAAAAAAAAATAATAATAATAAAAATATCATTGTAAAACCAATACATTCCTCGTTACGCTCTGAATCTAAAATAATAATTTTATTTTTCACGTTTATTAGAAAATATACAATCTGTAATAACAGTCACGGTAAGCATATGAGCGTAAACATAAACACATACGTGTATAAAAGAAATGAGAGCTTTTGGAGAACAGCTACCCAGCAGTAGTAACACTCAGGCTGTAATAATAATAAATACAAATCTAGAGCGAAGAAAACCGAGGGAAAAAAAAAAAAGACAATAATAACGCCATTTAAACTGCAACGACCGTATGGGTACCGATTGTATTGTAAAACGTATTATCGTTACGATTAGCGGTGGTTCGTGTACGCCGGGCAAAACGAGACGTTTTTTTCTTTTTTTGCCCTTTGTCGTTCCTTTTAATTTTAATTTCGTTTTTAAGTAGGTGTAGGGAGACTTACGCCCGCTAAAGACCGCGAAAACATTCGTCGTATGTTTGAAGTTTTTTTTTTTTTTTTTTTTTTTTGTTATTCTCTGTCTAACGCATACGCGAGATTGATCGAACTGGGTGACGAGGGGAATATATAACCCCGTTAACTAATTTTTCTTAAACATTCGTAGTAATACACAAGGAGATTTTTTAAGCACGTTCAGCGTTCATTCCAATTGTACGGTTAAATTATGCATACACTCAAATTCTGCGTTTTGGAATTTTTAAGCGTAGTGAAAGACGATATTTCGAATACTATCATCGGAATTTTAAACGAAAAATGTCTTGAGTTGTTCTACTTCAAAACGAGAAATTCTCCCAAAAACATATAGGTTCTGATTAAAAAAAAAAAAAAAAAAACTAAATTGGTTTATCGTCATAGGATACTGTTATCATCGTTCACTGCACTCGAAAATTTCAAAAAATTATAATTTGAACTTGTGCGCAAATTAATCATAAAAATGAGTTGAGCTTGCTTAAAAAATCACCCTATATATGTATATATTATTATATTATGTAGTTAAAGATTATGTAAATAATAATTCTTCTTGAAAATTATCCGTATCCGGGGACGTTTGCTAATGTATATAATTTCTGTAATAACACGGTGCAAAACGATACCGAATTCTGCGAGCTGATTTTAATTCAGCGTAAAGTAATGGCCGCTTTGCCGAAGTTCTGTTCGTAATTTCCAAAAACTCTGTTGGAAAATGTTTAGTGTATAAATAAAAAGAAAAAGAGAGCTGATACTGGGTAGTTGGGACGGCGGTACGCATAAATGTATTTAATTTATACATGTAACCAACGATAAACCATTGTTAACGAACAATTATTCAGAGCGAAGTTCGGCTATACGTATTGAAAGGCCGTAATAATGTTGACGATTTCCGTCGAAATTTTATAATACTATTTATATATATAAAAAAAAACTACTAAATTACGCTGAATTTGTTTTTTTCTGACTACTAAGTACGGCTTGTAATGAAACTCTTGCTAAATTGTCAAGCGTTTCGGTTTAGTGTAACGGTTTTATCCGCCAAGTGCCCATACCGAATATAAATTTCGTAAAATTGAATTTGTAAAAATAAAATGTCAATAAATCGATAAATACGTTTACCGCGTGTATAAATTGCAAACGTGAGTCTTCTGTCGAAACGTCAAGTCTCTACGAACGTTTCAAACTAAATTACATTAAAAAAAAAAAAAAAAAAAACATAATTTAAAATAACAAATGAATATTGTTTTCGTGCATTTTCCGTACCTTCTGCGTAATTATTCGGTTACGCTCAAAATCGAAAAACGAATAGATTAAAAATCTAGACGATCCGGACCGAAACTAAACCGGACCGCGCGTATCGTAAAAATAATCGCTTTTGTTTCGATCGCCGTTGCGGCGCGAGTAGACTACGAGTGACGGGAGACGGAAATGTTTTTTTCCAGCGGGTTTCAAACTGCTCGGACATTGTTTTAACGGAGAACCGTCAGTGTTCCCGGACGGTTTTACCGTACGCGATTTCCGCCGTCCGTTCCGGGACCGTTTCGAAACCGTTACCGGTGAAAATCGCCGGTTCGCGACAAAACGTATCGGCCCCTGTGCGCGCGCTGTTGTTTCGCGACGCGACGTTCGAAACATCGCGTGGATTCGCGTTCTCCGGATTTCCGTTTCCGTTAAAAAACGACGTTATCGCCCGGCTTACGGCCGCGAACGGTACGCGTCCGCGACGGACACGACAACGCGGTAACGCTTTCGCGCGGTGACCGTTTAAACGACGCCAATCGCGATGACACAGTCTGATCCCGGCGCAGTTCGCCGGTTGCGACGTTCCTCGGCACCGGGAAACGGCAAACGGTTGATTGTTATTACGGCGAGCTGACGCTTTATTTACGTTTGTATTATACGATCGGTACGGCGATACGATAACCGGCGATAGGGCGTTTTTTTTTTTTTTCTCGCCCCGTCTCCGTCTCGCGCTCTCGCTCGGCGCGCGAGAACGAATTCCCCCGGCGCGAACGCGCGGAAGAGCGAACTCGGCCCGACACAAATAATATTATTATTATTAATAGTTTCCCCGTTCTCGCGCGTTTTGTCGGCACGATATGCAAATTCTCAGCCCCCCCCCACCGCCGCCGCCACCGCCCCATCTCGGTTTACTCGCGAGTATTGTTCGTTTTTCAAGTCGCGGAAATTCGCACCGGGGACGATCGTAACGCGCGCGTTCGGCGGATTTTCAATTTCCTCCGCGGGGTTCTCGTACGGTAAACGACTCCGGATGAATTCGCGCGTTCGCGAATCGGAAATATTTTAATATTTTCCGGACGATGATAAAACGCCGTCTATCCGAAAGAAATCCGAGAGAATCGTATTCCGACAAAAGTTCAGACGCTTTCCGAGATCACGAGCGCAGTGTTTTGAGTATAGATAACGAACATTTCATCTGGATAAGATACGGATATTTGTATCTCGATACGGATAAAGATAAATGGAGTTGACTTTCATCTAGATTGGACAAAGATAATCCGACTTTTATCCAGATAAGTTTTCAGTGTTTTTCCGATTGTGTAGCCTGTGTGAATTGTCGAAATCGTCGTTAACACCGTCATTGGCCGTAAACAGATGTTTGTGTTTAAAATCAATGATGCCACGAATAAAAATTACGGCCGTATTATGATATTATTACTTCGGCTACAATAATATTGCGCAATAATGCGCGGCGATTAATCATCCAGTGCGCGAGTCGGTCGCCTAAACGTTTTTACCATGTGAGAATTTCAAGAGCCAAGACTCTCGAGACCCGTTTAACGCCCTCGACTTTGAACAATGAGTAACCTATATAAATTTCACATCCGTTGTCTATTATTAGTGTACGACAAATATTTGACAGTTGTTAATGTCGTCGAAGAGCCGTGAAACAACTGCCCGAAAGTGTCGACTCCGAACAATTTGGCCAGCGGAACACGGGAACACGGCAATACCTACCATTAGTAGATGCGCTAATTAGACAGTGTTCTGGCACAAACGATTTCGGCGGAAAACGAATGCGGTTTGAATAAAACGCGTCCAGATAGGTAAACGCCGCGTCGTCCGGGACGGCCAATAGATACGCGGCACGAGAGTCGTGTCTAGACGAGATAACAGACGCGTGATGTTCTCTATGTAGACGCAAAGTCACAACGGCGGATCTACGAGCGTTTCGCGTCATGCGGAAACGCTGCGACGCGCGGCCGGTACGATAAATAACGAACTCTGCTACGAAAACACGCAGACGGATAGATAGAGAGAGAGAGAGAGAGTGAGTGAGAGAAAGGAAAAAGAGTACCCGTCTTTGGAGAATATGCGTCCGACATAATATGATATCAGACGCTCGTGTGTTACGTTAATAATTTCCCGAACGGCATACGGACTGCACGCGGGCGGCGGAGGCGGACGTGGCGCGCGCAGGTGCCGGTGACAAGACCGCGCGAAGGGAGAAAAAACGCGAGGCTCCTGGTCCGCCGCGCGCGCGATATTATTGTTATTATCGCCGTTATTGTTACGGCTACGGGGCCGTAGACTGTTCATCCGGGCGGCGCGGCGGAACACTACGCGTGACGGCCAGAGAACGTACGGTTCCGAATTACCTAACCTTCACACACACACACCGCCCGTTATTCGCGTTAAGCGGCGCGAACTGGCCGCGCGCACATTGCGAGTTCGTCCGCCGTCCGCCGGTCCCTGCGCGCTCCGTCCCCCGTACGGTCGCCGCGAGGTTTCGGTGGTTCTGACGGACGGTTTTCACAAGGGCGGCGCGAACGCCGTTTCGAAAATGTTAAACCGGCGCGTTATCGGATTCGCCCGTAGCGTTCGCGTGTGACGATACGGCGGTCGGCCCGCGAACACGCGCGTCGGATAGACAAAAATATGAAAATTCGATTTTTAAATAAATAACAGAAAATTTGTCTCGGTGCCGGTTGTCCGCGTGGAAATCAACGTGCACCGACTGTTCGCCGACGGTACGTTTTAATGTCCGGACGTGTCGTCCACGGCCGCAGTGTACGGCGGACCGTGAACGGACCGGCGTACGTGCCGCGTCCCGTTCCGAGTCTGTTGAGCACCGTGCGCCGGGAGGTTGTGCCGCAGGTCGGCCGCCGCAAACGCGATGCGGTGTCGATATTGTTAGCCCTCGGGTGGTCTGTCCGCGTTTCGACGTCATGTCCGTCAATCGTCCGCGATCGGTATTTTCCGACAGTTTCCGTCGTGTCGGCCTCCCGGATTTCAACCGTCGCGCGGACGGGCGGCGTACTGTTCCCGGAGATACGTGTCGCGCGCACCGTGCACCGTTGTACGCAAGGTAAAGCGAAGGGCCGCGGGTTTAAAAACCGACAAACGACAGCTCGCGCGATTTCGAGATTTCGAGTGTGTGACGCGAGGTCGAGGACGGGCTTATCAGATCACGGCGACCCGATGAATTTTTGAACGCTCATTAAAAATAATAAAAAACAAAAACAAATATAAACGGTTGCGTACGATACGTGACGGGTCGCCGCTGCGGGTACCTAGCGGGTGTTTTTCGAGCGTCCGAAAGACGTGTTTTCAAAAACTCCCGCTAACCGCACGCAACTAATTTAGTTTTGGACAAAACGGCTTTTCGCGAATCTCTCGTATCCGAACGCGGGTAACGGGCTGCGAAGCGCGC